GGGGAACAGTTTCTCCCCTTGCTAAAATGACAAGGAATCATTTTTTAAAATTATTATTACCAAGGTCCCTCTGGATAACAGCCATGTAGCTGCATGGGCCACCCTGGCTAAATAAAGTTTTATCTTATCTTACCTTATTTTAGGAAGGGGAAGGGGAGGGCAAGTGTTGTACATCAAGTGTCCACCAACAATACATTTAATCATGGATGCAAATGAAAAATCTGTACCTTAGCAAAACCGCCAGATCCTATCATTTCGATAGGCTCATACTTCACAGGATCCAAAAAATTACCCATAGCGGAAACCTGTACTTTGAGATCAGCAGTGGCTGGGATGCCTGTACTGATGCTTCCATTAGGAGGATGATCTATGGCATCCAGTCCAGCAGACCCTGCTAATGCAGAGTGCTCCTGAACCGGTCTTGCAGTTGAACCAGGAGGTCCCTGTGTTACAGCATCTGGTGAAAGTGGAGATTGAAGAGAGGGATTTTCCATGCTGGGTTGAGAGACTTGTACAGGATAACCAAGGGATGGGTCAGCCAGTGATGAATCGGTCTGTAGCCTCTGATTTGATGTATCATCAAAGGGAGGAGGATTACTGAACCCTGGGACAGCTGTTGGTTCTTGGGGTACTTCATTGCCAACATTTGAAGTCAATGAGGTTCTGTGAGATGCACTCTCAGATGGGACAGCTGGAGGTAAAGACTGAAAAGAGGGATTCACCATTGTGCTTGGAGGAAGTGGCCCAGGAGAGGAAACAGATCGGTCTACGCTAGGTTGAGAGATTTGTGCAGGATGAGGAATAGATGGATTGACAACAATTGAGTCACTCTGTGATCTTTGATTTCTTGTAACTGCTGAGGTTGAAGAGTGAGGAGGGGGATTTTGCCCAGTGCCTGAATGAAGTGGCCTGTAATAGGGAAGGTTTGGACGACCAGAAATGGCCTGCATTGCTAAGGGGGTTGGAGCTGTTTCATTATAGAGGGTAGGTTGTTGCCGAATTGATGAATCCTGCCTACCCACAGGGGCCTGCTGAGTGGGGAGAGGTAGAAAAACTTGACTGGGTTGATCCCAACCACCCATAGTAGATGGATCCAAACCACTTGTGGTGACTGGTGGGGCAGAGGAAGGTGGAAAGCTTTGATTTGGTTGAGTCCAACCAGGTTGGTTGGATGGTACTGGTCTCAGACTACTATATTCTGTTTGCTCTCCAGGGACACGTTGTGGAGGATAATTTGGCAAGACATGGCCCATGTCATTTAAGTTTGGAAAAGGCCTCTGTTCTGCTGTGAAGGAAAATTATTGATTTTAACAATTAATTATGCTTGCAATATTGCTCAAAGCAAAGTGACCTTGAATATAAAGACTGCTGAGCCACAATTATCAAAACTGAGACATGTAACTTGATGTGAAAGATGATGTTAATTGATGGATGACCCAACCATACTCATACAAAAAGAACTCTGAGTGCTTGCAATAGGAGTTCAACCTTTGACCTTCTGATTAGTACTTCAGACGCTCTACCACTGTTAAGTGCCTTCCACTGAATAACATAATTTTTTTCATATTTTATAGCTTAAAATGTGATTTGGAGTTTTTGAGGTTGAATAACTAAAATGGAAAAAAAAATGCACAGACTCTGTCTTCAATTATGATATTTGAGTGCAAAACAAACCTATTTCAGTCTGGTATTCATGTTCCACTGCAGCATCAATCTCTTCTTGCTGCTTCTTCAATGCATAATCTGTACAGAGAAAGACATCACCCTTAACCCTTTCACTTCAGGAAGTGGATAACAAGTAACTTTGCACTATAATATCTGTACATTATCCTGTAAACAAGTAATGAAAATACTCAAACTTATCAAGTAGAAGTTGGCCTCTTAATCTAACACCAAATTCTTGCTAGTAATTCACAAGGAAATGTGTTACAGCAAGTGGGTTAAGAATCAACCACATACACACTACCTGAGTGCAAAATTTCACCTCACCACAATGCATATTAATAAAATGAGGTATCAAACATTTCCATTAATTTATTACAAAATATTTATGATGAGCTCTGGCCATTAAAGAATTGTTGGACCCTTTAACTCTTGATGTTATTATGTACAGTGAATGAGGCCAAGCTGAGAATTAAGAGCCAGACATTTTCCCCTGCAGCCCTAACTAATTCAGTCAAGAAGAATTTTACCATATGGCCATGGGCCTTTTTCTTTTCTCCCTTTAACTCATGGCTCTCAGAGCTGTACAGCTTTGCATCATCCTAATCAGATGATTGTATACAGCCCACACCTGTTTTTTTTTCTTCTAAATTTTTTCTACACTAAATAATAACCATTGCAGGAAGCTTCCACTGGTTGAACAACCAAAACAATGCACATTAAAAAAAACTTCCTGATGAAGGAGATTTGCTGTCTGGAAAATATGGGAAAAAAATTTGGATCATGGGCTACCACTTCCGTCACCAAATAATTAGCCTTTTGATTGCAGGATTCTGTAATCTAACACATATGCAGTAGTGCCAACTTCAAAGCATCAGATGTTCCACCATGGCAGAACACACAAAATTCCAGTTCCCACAAAGTTGATATTGATAGCAATTTTTTCATGTCTGCCTTAAGATTTTAACTAAAACAGTCACTTTTGATAATTCATTGATACTTTGTTCCATCAGTGGAGCTTTCTTTTAAGATGATACCTCTCACTCTTTCAGACAAATCTCGTCTTCCTATAAGCTCAAGGGCTTTCCGTAAAGCTTTCATTGATGCGTTGCCAGTTTTTCTTTTCTTCCACTCTTCAAACATTCCCACGCCTTTTTCTACAACTTTCCGATGTTCTGAGTCAATGTTGCTTAAGACACCTTCTGTAAGACCAAGACGTCTTCCCAACATTTTCCAGCTTGTGCTCAGATCTTCAACAAGATTGTAAACTAAATCTCCAGGAACAGGCTTGTCATCCCAACTATTTGGCTGTGCTGCTGTGTTGCCGAAAAACAAAGAAGAAAGAAATAACTTGAATCTTGATTATCCAGACTCATAAGGATTGGGCTGAAAATTCTATATATTTTCAGGAGTCCAGATAATCAAAAATAAGAAGACTAATGAACCAAACCTAGAGCTGAATACCTATCACTTAAATCACCATATCATGTACATCATTGTCAACTGACAATTGGTAAAAGTTAACATCTGATTGACACATTGTTAATATTTTTCAAAAGTATTTTCAAAAAGTCATTAAAGCTAATCAAAAACCTTCACAGCCTAAACTGATGACATAAATCAGTTTATTTCAAGTTGCTACGGCATTCTACATGGTGCAACATTCTTTGAAGCTCCATCAATGGAATATTGGCAACATTGATTCAATACATGAGCATTGTGTGATAGGAAAAAGTTCTCACAGATCTCAAATGTGACTAATTAAAATTTATAAAATAAGGGACCAGAGAAAAATGCTCCATAAGAGAGGTCCCAACAATTGAGGTTTGACTGTAAACAAAAATCTTGCAGAAAAGGTGTGTTTTAAGGGAATATTATCTGATCTGATAACAAATTCTCCAAACTGACATCAAAAGAATTGTATGCCACACAGTAAAGAGAATTACTAATGAGGTTTGTGTGTACTTACATGCTACCTGTCTTTGGCTTATCTGTGACGCTGTTTCATTTTCTGAAAATACATAAAAATAAGACCTTGTTTTGATCCGAAAATTGACAAGAAAGCTTTGTTTAACACTTTTACATAATGGATATCTGCCATCAAACTAAAGTTTACTTGCCTCTCCCCTGAGTGGGGAATATGCTGAAGATTTTTGGTGTAAATTTGCCTGGCATATCATTCACTGGTCACAGAATTTGATGTCTATGCAGCAGAAGAATGAACTAAGGCAACATTTGGCTCAACATTGTTTTGTTGACAGGAGTATAACCATTAAGCTGGTGACACACCAGGTGATTTTGTTTGCCTATTTCTGCAAATTTGATCACTGCAATCCATGCACAAAATGGCTAATATCTGGCATGCCAGATATCAATGATTTTTTTACAATGATTGTGACAATCAGAGGAAATCATGGTCACAGTTCCAGGCACACCTGGCAATTTTTGCTGATGGCTGCCAATGCCGTATAAAATCAACAGTTTTATCACCAGCTTTAGCTATTTTACCGTCAAGGTTTTCAATAAAAGCCAATAACTAACAGTCTACCGCTGCATATAAGACCTTTCACTTCCATCTGGTTAGCCTGAAAGAACTCTTTTTGATGCCCAAAATTATTAACATTACATTTTCTAAGCTCCTCATTTAAATTATTGTGGTGGAGCTGGCCCCTAGTTGGCCCCTAAAATCTCACCAACTGTCCTATCACACTGTCCAATTACAAGCATGATGTGTACACTGTCCTTTCAGTGCTCAAATCGGGCTGGTGATAACCAATCATATTAAAAAATTTTGCTATACTTTTGATTATATGTGGTACTGGTAAATAGAAAGAGTGATTAGCTATTATGTGGCACTGGAGAAGAAATGTCTTTGGCTGACCTGTGACATCATGCATAATCTCAGACCCTTTTACAACTTTGGCCTCTTGTCAGAAGAGTAGAATTTTGAAGCCCCAGGTATATCTTACATATCAGGTTTGTGTGTAAAGTACTTCGGATGCTACAAGAGCCGGGAATTGGAGCTCAGTATTTGTGACAAGAAGAAGAGGCTATGCTGTAGTTCCGCGGACGGAAGTTGATTTTCCAATCAAAACCGATGTTATACTTTCCAATCGAGCTCTTAAACTCATACGTACAGAGAGACAGAAGATTAAAAGTAATGAATCTTACTCCTTACGTAGCAAAGCGATGTATTTAAAGTTACTTTCACATTTTTACTACTGTCCGTAAAATTGGCTTAGTCATATCCACGGATTGATTGCAACGTACGTTTTGCGACTTCACTATACAATCAACAAACGCAAGAAAGTAAATACCCTTACCTTGAATCCCTAAAAGTTTATTCCTCAAGTCATTTCTATTGATAGCAATAAGTTTTGAAGCCAAAAAGTCTCGATTCTCCTCCGAAAGCAAGTTCAGACGTTCAAGCTCGGAGAAGAACTCGAATGCACGAGTAATTTTCTCTGCTCTTCCGGCCGGAATGACTTCCACGCAGAGATATTTAAGCCCAGTTACATCTTCAGACGTTAAATGGTTTGAAATATTCAACAGAAGTGCTCGATAATCACTCATTTTACTAAGTTACCGAGTTAATTCATCAACCAGATATTCTTTCGAAGACATCTTATTTAGCAAACTCGTCAGGGAACTTCCCCGCGCGCAGAAAGGATTATGGGATGCAACGTCACTTTCTTCCGGTTTTGCTCAACGCAAACTAATAGACTCGTGGAATGAACTCATGGAATGAAGAGTGGAGTTGCTGAATGCAAGTAAGTAGGCCTGTTCAGCCTGTGCTCGCAAAATGGTGGAAAGATTCTTACTAGAATGCCAAAGAGTTTCTAAAAGAATCGCCAAAAATCCTAAAAGTTACGAGTTGAAGTTCGTGATATTTTATTTCTAACATTGGCCAAGAAAAGTGGCTTGAAACTTAGCTTTAAATAGTTGCTAGCAAATATAGGCAAAACTTTTGGACACTCTTGCTACACATGGTTCTCTTGACGTCTTGTCGAACGATGTGAGGGAATTTGAAGGTTACGCGTTCCAAAGGTTGATAAACATTCAGGAAAATCGCATACATTGCTCCCCCGGATAAGAGTGATTTTCTATCAAATCATCGACTCTTTTATAATTGATATGTACTCTTAGTTCTGGGCTTCCTGTATACGCTGGAGGTGAGGCGGCCGTCAGGTTCTCTTAAAACTGCAGTGTCTATGAAGGCGAGTTTGTTGTCTTTCTCTTTCTCCATGGCAAGGTGTAAATCGGAGAGACTGGAAGACCTATGCAAGAAAGAATCAAGGAGCACGATCGAGACATCCGACTCGCCCGTACCGAGACCTCCGCCGTTTCAGAGCATGCCTACAACACCGGACACAAGCCACTCTGGAACGAAGTAAAGTTTATTGATCGTGACCCTTATTACTACAATGCAGGGTCAAAGAGGAAATTCATATAAGACTTCACCCTGACAACATCAACAGGGATTGTGGAATAGAAATTCCAGAAGCGTGGATACCCACGATTAAAAAACACAACAACAGAAGAGCCGTATGACAGCGGACCGCCGAGGGAGCAAATCACTGAATGAAACAGCAAGGATCGAAATGTACCGATCAGAGCTGTTGAAAAACAACTAATCACAGCAGAGCATCATGCTTTACAAGATCGCGCATGCAGTCGACCTCATTGCCTGAAGGAGACTAGCAGTATGCAGTATGAGACAAACGAAAAACTTAGCTTTTATTAAATAAATGATTGTCTACAGTTTCTGCTTGACCGAACTGTAAGAAACCGGTCCTTTATCGATGATCGCTGGTCCTAGCTCAATATGCGCACCGTTAATTCAAGTTCAATGGAAGGGTTAAGTTTTGCAATCTTGACGAAACATGCGCTCGAAGTCCATGTGGTTTCAGTAGGTACTGTAGGCTCTCTTTCCACCGTTTTAAAGCTAAGTTCATTTTCCTTTTCCTTTCCGGAGCCTATTGTCAATTGGGGTAAGAAGGGATGGACGGGCGAGGGCTTGAAAACAGGAGACAAACAAAATAAAATGTCGTTCTCATAAAAAAGTAGCGAGCGGGGGACTATTCGTGAGAGTGAAAGGGTTAAAAGAGAAAAGAATGTCAAACTGGGAAAAACCGAAAACCCTGTTAATAACAAAACCTAAATTAGGAAGATTTTGAGCGCAGAGATAAATAATCGATTATTACTCGGGCTTTCCAAAAGAAACGCTCGAGTTGAAATTCCGACTTGGTTTTTTAGTTTTTTTTTTTATTAAAAAGATCTATGTTAGCGTACAGAAAGTGGTATGTTGCTCGCACCAATCAAATTGTTTAGGGTATGTATCTCGCACCAATCAGAGCGTCGTTTCTGTTCTTTAGTTTGAGAGATGTTCAAATTTCAACAAAATACTGGGGATTTGGAGAGAGCGGTTCGTAAATCGGAATCATCTTTAAGAATGAGAAATATTGGCTTTTCTGTGTTTTTAACGTGTTTTTTACCGCGCTTTACGAGAAATGCGATACTACCGGACAGATGAAAGATATCAGATTACCTATAGTAAACGTGTTACTCGTGCTGTGAAAATGGTGGATAGTTGTTCGAGAGAAAATGGAGTTCAGTTCATCGTAGCGCGATCACGGTTATTGTTCCCTCACGACGAGAGTGAGTGGAAAATTTTTGAATCAAATATTGCTTGAGGTGTTGATGAGTTGCACCAAACATTTCGATTTGAGCAGTTCTTTAACGGAAAGCTGTGTTGCAAGATTCATGATTTGTTGAGTGTGTCGATTATATTTTTCTGTATTGGTTTGCTCGGTGCCATCTCCAGATGAATTTCTGATAAAAAAGGAACTATGGACGATTTTTCGTATGTTTTCGATGTCTGGAGATAGTGATCTTGTGGAGTCGTTTGTGTTTGGCCAAGAAAGAATTCAGATACCATCGTTAGCATGTTTATTTGATTTTGTTATCTGGAATGAATGATTTACGGAGGTAAGTTAATATGATGTGATCTACTAACGACGAAAATATATCAAGTCGAAGGAACAGTTTTGGTCTCGATTCACCCAGGTTGATTTTTTCGGCTGGAGTGAAAATACTTTTTCATGTCTGTTCGCTTTGTGACGTATAGGCAAGACAATTAAATTTACAAAACTTAATTAACCGCGAAAGAGTCAATATCGCTTGTCTTAACTGTCATTGCTCTTAACCGTAACTAACCTTTTCGGCGCGTCTAACAAACTTCAGCATCTTTGTTCGGTAAAAACACAGTTGCGAAACCGTGTCAGCAAGACTGTACACCAAAGAATTCACAACTAACAGCAGCTGCAGGGACCATCAAACATTGTCATTCATTCCCCATTTGCCTGACATTGGCAGCCCACGACAAGGCTTGTTAGAGTATCGACATATGGCTTCTTCCTCTTAACGTTGACCCGGGAAGTATCGAGTCCGACAGAAATACAAATGTCATTTAACATTTTAATTGAAAAGTTTGAAAGCTTAGAATTCCTAACTAGTTCACAAACGCTGTAATCGTTGTACAAGATTGGATGTGCGTGCTGAAGAGAAATTTCACTGAGACACCACCTTTTTCCTCATTGCTTGTAGCTGGCTCTCCTTTTCTGCTCTGATTTGCTCATTGTCATCGCTCTGGTTCCTCTTGGTGGTTGAGACCTCGCTTTGAGGCCAGACGAGAAAAAAACTAGAAATTTGCCTGCTTGTAAGAAACTCGGAGTAGTCTAATAGCTGCTCGCGTTTTCGTCTTTCTCAGACCTCATTAACCTTGAGACACTTGCAGCATCTGCCTTTTGTCCCGTTTGTTCTCCAGTTTGAAACTTGGCCATCAAGTAGTCTTTTTGCTGATCAGTGAAACGAATATTGCGAGAACGACTCTGCTTTAGGGCCCATCCCATTTCAAGAGAAGCCACAGACGATGACGGGGTGGATTCCGTGTCCTACAGTTCCGGCACAAGATCCCTACCCTCCTTGGGGATCTGAAAAATCCATTTTGCGTAGGAAGAGATTGTTTAGCTCAGCTACTTTGCTGGCCGTAACCAGGGTTAAAGCACAGTGGTAACACCCGGCGTTGTCTTGTCTAAGATAAATGGATTGTAAATGAGGCATGACATCCGTCAGTCGACGAAAGACGTCGTTAAGTATGGCAAGAACTGCAGAACTGTCCTGGTTACAGATCACAAATAAGTGTACAAATGTCATCATCTCAATTTTGCCATCATTTCCCTTTCTCATCGCAACTGTGATATGCCATGGCAGACCTCTCTTACCAAACCAGTCTGTTTGGCTTTCCCTGAATTTCTTTGGTAGATATTTCATAGCCCAGTCTAAGACCAGTAAGACAGAAGTTTCATCCAGCTCATCGATGACGTCTAGTCTGGACTCGTCCTGGTTTGTTGAACGTAGTAACTGCGATTTCCAGGAATTTATGCATTGTTTGGACTGTAAGGTCGCAAAGGCCAAATCTCTTTTCGTATTGGTTGTGCCTCCCACTTCCTGTACAGCTCTCTCGATTTCAGCAACAACAGATGTAAGACGAGAACATAGGTCGCATGCGTGGCTGTGGTTGTGATGGCAAATTTCAAGGTAGTCTGTGTCGTCTGGACAACTTGGCGCGTAGGCTCAACAATGGGCTGGTACACGTGAGCTCGTTGAAATGTATACCTATTAATTGAAAACAAAAATCTCGAATTAGAACGTATGATTATGACTATGGTCCCTGTCTATCTGCATGTCTTCATTGATAATTTATATCTCTGTATTGTATTAAGAACTGATGAAGCACACTCGATTATTTTTAGTGTCATGATCGTAATAATAATAATAATGATAATAATAATGATAAAAGGGATAACAATGGTACCTTGTAATCACTCTTCAGATATCTCTTTCCTACCTTCAGCTGTTCCTTCTTTTCTTTTACCCAGGCTGAGCTCATCCCACAGTCTTCTCCGAGCTTATCGACAACACTCTCTAAATCATCAAAAGCCTGAGTGTTTGCCTTGCGCTGTAAAGTAATCGAGTCCCTGTAATGAGTTCCTCACACTAGCAGAGCACACATCTAGAATGTTATGAAGGGTGCTGCTTCCCATCGGAGCAAAACCCGTCTCGGTGCAAAACAGGTTATATTGTTGAATAACTCGCTCTGGGATGACCTTTCTTACCGCGTTAGCGTTGTGTTCTGCGGGCTATTGAATTCCATGATGTTAGCAACTGATGACGTACAGGGCTGACATCCCTACATGCTGAGAATGCATTGAGTGCTTTTCTAGAACTACCTTTTGCCTCTTTTGCGCCATCGGAATCTTTGGAGCTCTCAGATGGGTGGTAAAAGCTCCCAGGTGTTTCCGCGGTCAGTCCCGATGGTATTTCAGAACTACTACAAGTACCTTTTACCTCTTTTGCGCTTTCAAAATCTTCTGAGCTCTCAGATGGGTGGTAAAGGTTCTCCGTCGTTTCCATAGCCAATGCCGGAGGTTCACGTTTTTCTGGAGTAACCTTAGGATTCATTGGTATGTCACTACTGTTGGCCTGAGGATATATTCAAAGCACAAGTTTGAGTAGCGGCTATATTGCTTGGCACTCTATTTACGGAATTTTTTTGCACTGCAGCAG